TCACTCATAAGACGACTTCGTCAAGTCCTCTGATAAACGGTTGACTCCCTGACCTTCCGCAGACTACATCCTAGTTAGTGGAATATGGCATCGCAACACACTATGTCAGGGCCTACCGTACTGTAACTTTCCGAGCAGTCCTACATTAGACTTTTGCAGCAGAAGGGAAATTTGTAAGGCTAATGTTAAAGTCCTCGTGTGCGTGATTACTCAAAACTAATGCGAATGAAATTAAGTAGAAACTACAGCCACATCTCAGCGCGGTTAACATTGGGTTGAATTAATCGCCTCAAACGGAAATTTGTGTGGGACACGGACGAGCTGCTAAACCTAGTCCCATTACGGCCTGTGTTTATTGTATGAATGTTGAGGGATCAAATTGTAGGAACGTGGAGTCCATCTGACTACGATTCGAGGGTTAAAGTACATTTTGCCTCGTAATGATTTATGTGATAGGAATATGCAAAAAAGGCAATGGTGGTCATTGACCAGACTGCGGCATCTAAGTGTGCATCCCATTCCTCAAACCTATTCGAAGTATTGTTGAATTACCCTATTTTTTTAATCTTAGACTTACAACTCTAGTGCTTTGGTTGACAGTGCAATCAGCAAGAATGGCTGGACTTGCCTTGCTGACTTTGTCTAGCATTACTCCCAAATCAGAAACAGAAGCTGCCAATGAGGAGTCACTTGACTACCACGGATTAGTCATTCACTGATAAAGCCGAGATAAGCCACCAAATTAATTTCCAAAATTAAATCTTCTCTGTAGTCGTCTGATTTCAATCATTTTAAGACAGCTCCCACTCTGCCAAGTAATTGCAACAAGACGTTAAGTCTGACTATCTTCTGAGACTAAAAACACTGCAATCTGACAGGTTTTATGGAAAAAATTTGAGCATAACTCATAACCCTTAGCAAAATAAAACTTAACTACCCTGATCATACCAAAAGTGCTAAGCAAGAAGAACTGCGGACTATTGCATGTAGCACAGTTACAGTATTGTCTTACACTTAAGCCTTACATGCATGTTAATAGTAAAGCAAGTCATTCTAAGTCAGGTTGACCAGTAGGATATTTCTGAGGTTTTACAATTATATGGATTCACTCCATCACGTAAGGAAAGTGACTCATATTCGGATGTATTAAAATAAGCATAAAGAAGTTTACACGTCCAAAGTAACTTTGTTGCACTTTTCAGTCTTCAATGCTTGATAAGTACTTTAAAGTAAAAAGAAATGAAATCGACTGAAACAGTCAAATTGCAATTTTTTAGTTAATTAGGCTAAGAACACCCAGAATCAATGTTAAGCTTCCACATCTCTGTTTAACACATGGGGAATAGTTTGCGTTGTTAAAATTGTGCTTACTACTTCAGAATGCTTCTTTGGTTGTGTGTATCCAAGTCGAATGCACTAAGAAATTTTACTTGGGCACTTCGCAATTTAATGCTTATCAAAAGGGTTTACGTAATAATGGGGATATGGTCAGTTCCTTGTGATACTGCTTTAGTGTGTTGTAATTCTGTTTACGGAGACCTTAGATAGTTAATAGTAATGTGACTAGGGCAGTCACAAAACATATCCTGATTTGACCTTTGGAATACATTCGCGATCCCTATTCTATCAATCAAAATAAAGGAGAATAATTGAATACTTTACTTTAATCTGGTTCCTGTAGCTTGAAAAAAGTGTACTCACACGATTGTAGGGTAACCCTGCCAATTATCGTTCGGGTGGTAGGGTATCAAATGCATTTCTCACTGTGAGGTCCTTTTGGCAAGACAGGTTCCTTATCCTGGTGCCTAATTTACTACAGACGTTAATGACACATGTCTGTCTGAAAATTTAAAGAGGAAGTCATATATGTTTGTTATCGTTGTGATTCATTTTTTGTGGGCTTCAGCATGTGGCCTTGAGCCACGCCGGGGCCACAGAATTAACCCTGGCCCGATTAAGCTTTTTGCTGCCCTCGATGAAGAAGAAGACCAGGAAGGACGTGAACACAAAGGCTCACTTCAGCGCTCAACGAAGTTGGCGTCGTTGTGTCGTGTGTGGCGTTTGCGATAACATCGAGGCCTAGGTGTGAAGATAATCAAGGATAATCGTTCGCGCCAATGAGGTGGAGTTGAGGGTCCGCGAGGCTGGCGACCCTCCGGAGGCTGGAGTGTAGCAACGCGATTCACAACACACTACACTTTTTGACCGGTATTAGTGATGGTGGTCCATCTCTTTGATGTCTGATTTATACATTGCGAAGTTCTGATGCAACTTCACTATAAGCCGTAAGGACCTGCTTATTCAGGTGTACTGTGATCAAATCGTGATTTATGTGGTACAGGATTCAAATTGTATTTAGAACCTAAACATACTAGTTTATTCTAAACAACACTAGAACAGGTTCAAGTTAAAGTGCCCACCATGTTGAACTGGTTTAATCTTACATGCACCCAGCATTTATCCCAAAGAGTATGAGCAGTTTGAAGTCAAAATTGTTTAAACGCTTCAATTTTAAACGGTTAATGTGACGAACACATTTAAATTCTGCGTTATGGTGCGTCGCTTTTGCTTTGAGCAATATCTATATTTCCACGGTTTAGAAAGCTACGACCAGAGATTTTAATCAAAACTTGAAAATCCCTCATAAAATTGATGGCTTTATATATTCCTGGATATTTTGTGGTCGATAATTTACTTTGGCTGCCGCAATCAAATGGATTTATTCAATTTTTATCCACCGTGGTGTGTCAGTCAGCATTCCTAATGACATTTTTCTTCGTGAAATTCATTTTGCGCTTCAATTGACAGGACAAAACTGCTTCAAAGCTTGTCACTAAGATAAAAGCAAGCACTTTTTCCTCAGGAAGTCTGGAGGACAGTATTAAAGAACAAAGAAACCTCACCGTTTTAAATTATGCAACTATGCAACAAATCGGTTAGCATTTTGATTTTAGGCATTAGACGACAGACGAGTTATTTTTATATGGTTTATCAAGGTGTTGCCAGGTATTTTGATCGTGCGTTATGCAGCATATTTATAGGCCAAAACCTCTTGGCTTTGTTTGAATGTCTGTTATGCCCCATGTTAATTCCTTGTTTTTTAATGATGATGAAAATCCAGTATGTTAACATTGCTAAAAAGCGAACTAGCTCACCGATAAGTTGGTAAACATTAGCTCTTTATCCTACACTTGAACAAGCTTTTATAAGCTGTTGAAGAATGGCGTACTGAACAAGGGAAATTTTTAATGATTTAATATGGAAAAAGAATTTTTAAACGTAGTGAAGATGTAAAATGAGGGGCACGCGAAGAAATTGTACCTCAAACATGTGCTCAAGAGAACTTTGTCACAGCCTCCAACTTTGTGGAAGCAAACTTAAGACCTCCATATTTATACTAGAGTTTAAGACCATGGTATATTCGCTTAAATGACAAAAAATATCGCTCAGAATACTGGCGTTGTCTGTGTTTTAAGTGATTTCTGGTAGTGGTGATTCTGACAGGATGAAATTTGATTGAGTGAAAAAGTGATTGCTAAATTAAAATAAGAATACAACCAGTCTAGTTTGAGTCCAGTTAAGCACACCCTTTAAAGTAGATGCATGCCGCAGAGAAACGAATTGACCCTTGCAAGGCTTTTCGAAGTAGAATAGCAAAAGGAATTTAAAATGTCACTCTAAGTTCCTGCAAGTATGCTACAATAGTCCGAGGTTAGATTTTGCAGTAGAGCAGTTTCCAACGGCCATAAACCACTTTGTCTGATCTGTGATAACAGTATTGCATTAGCGTCAATTACGCCGGTGAAATGTGTCCAGAATCCAAAGTTAAACAATGTTGTTTATTTATATTGGTTCATTTACGCGTAAAAAATTTTTGTTTTTAACCTTCAGCGGTGAAGAAATGACACTGTATATCAAGAAGCATTTGTTTATCATCAAATCCACGACAACTCTGCTTTGTTCTGCCATTCTACCAAGCAGAACTTTGGGGTTAAACAACACGTTTGCTCAGAGATATCAAAAAAATTATTGCCGAAGACCGGTTTCAAGATACTTTCACCCTCACCCACACAATGATAGTCCATTGTCCCATGACGTATTGCATCATAACACGCAAAATGTTTTGTCCACTAAGCAGAAGTCCAGAATCTAAAACATTCTTTTTTTCATTTGAATAATTGCAAATACTAAGAGAGATGAAATGCAGTGGACTATTCCAAGAACATGCTCAAAATTATTGCTAAATTTTTATTGGACTTAGATTTAAATAAGAAAAACTTTGAAATGTGTGAAAAATTAATTATCTAAAAGTCTGTGCTGCGGGGCCGTAAATGAGACTCGTTAGCCGCTGATGCTGGTTTTTCGGCAGCGCTACTAATGGCGTCCGCTGATACGCTTGTAACGACCAAATCATTTAACCCTCATCCAAGTGTACTTTTGGATAATGTTCATTCATAAATCAAAATGTGGAAGTAGAAAAAAAGAGGTTGATTTCCAGCCACCTTGAAAATATAAAAAGAAATATATTTTGCCAGAGGCAAACGTGACCTTATATCAATTAACGATTTCTTGGTGATAGCGGAATTTTATTTCACCACAGAACTATATAGTATTCAGTTGGAAGTTTTATTATTGCAAACGCAGTTCTATTTTCATGAAAAAACACATTTCCAGGCCAAACACTACATCTTCTGCAGTTTGTCATAGATTTGTGCATTAGTTTTGCTAGTTCATTTGAAACAAGCTATGTCATTAAAAACTTATTCTTTTACCATCTAAAGTGTACGGGGATTTAAGAACAATAACGTGCGAGTAATCATTGCAAATGTAAATATACATGTTATCAAAACACCCTCTTATAAAAGATTTTTGAGTTAAAGGTGGAAAATGGCGGTTTGCGTTGGATGGTTAATGTGGTTTTTTGAGGCAAAAATGGAATGTTTTGATCAATCAGATGCATTTCATTTGAAACATGGTTTGTTAGAATGAAGTCTTTAAGATTACAGGCCACTAACTTCAATGAATCCAGCTGCTCTCCCAGGAGTAGTGTAAAACAGTTGCTTGACAAGGTCGCCGGGGGGCCTGCTGAAGTAATCTTTTGCCACTTTGTTGATAAATTGTTGAATTTTTCCTTCGGGAACCAAGGAGACAACACAGCCTCCCCATCCGGCTCCAGTTAGACGGCTGCCGTAGCTGCCAGCTGATCTAGAATAAATGCAACGTTAGACACACCTAAAACATTTTAAGAATAATCCAAGCTTAATGCATGCAAATTAGTACTGGTCTTGGCTTGGAACAATTTCTGACGTTTATATGCTTAGACATAAAAATTTTAAAAGAATTATTCCAGCTATAGAAACAAAAAAAAACCTTTTAATGATTTCCTAGGAGTTCACTGTGAGGAGTGTTTCATACTCAGCATTTTGCAAGCATAGTGCATGTTTCAAGTACTTTACCTAAAGCATCGCCTACTGAAATGAATTTCCACATGCTGATTTTTGTCTGAAATGCGATTTGGGCATGTAAGTTATAAACGTGAATGCAATGACTAATGGGTTAACTACAAAAGGACAACCAGTTTGTTTGGCAGTTGGATGCCAATACCGGGGATCATGCATGTAAACATGCCCGCTTGTGATTCAGACAGAGGCATCATGGTGGTTTTTGTTCAAAAATTGGTCGACATTGCCGTAAATTTTGCCAATTGTTTGCAATAAAAAGCATTCCTCGTTGAATGTCAAAAATAATCATCTGATTTTTTTAAAAAAAAGTGACACAGATGAAAAATGCACATCATTGTCAATCTACTAAAGTTCAATTTAAATGACTTATTTCAATGCAAGGACAGCTTTGCATGAGATTACAAAAACAGTTTTTGGATCTAGCTTAATTTTGCTTTCAACTTGCAATCAAGTGATTAAACGAAGCGTTTTTTCTTCCTAAAAATTATCTGTTTGCGACCTAAATAAGGAAATAAAATATTCTGAAGCCTTAATGTCAACTGAGCAGCTCGGACACAAAGCTAAATGTCAGGCTAGTATTAAACCTGAATCAAGGTAAAATTGTTCTTGCGCAGGTGTTTGGAACGGGATGTTTGGTGTCCTGACAAATACCGTCCTAGCGACAAAAACAAAATCTTCAAAGCACGCCTCATAATAACGAAAACACTTGGTGCCAAAATGTGGTCCGCAGAATTTGTTTGTGAATGAGGCGTTGACTCTACATCAAAAGATATTTTGAAGGAAATAAAATTTTGTCTTGGATGCTTTCAAATATTTTGGCCCATTTAAAAGAGATTGATAAACATTCTGATGAAAAGTCAGCGTATGAAAATAACGCATTTGCTACTCATCATTTCCCTTGCCTCTCGTAAGGAAATGCATGTTTATGCATCATTTTTTTTTCCAGAAAATACTGCCAATTTCTTATTGTAGAAAGTCGAAGGGAGTGAAACAGGTGTAATTAGCCAAAATTAAGCGAACACAATGGATACTGGAAGATTTCCGGCTTAAACGCCTTGGGTTTTGCAGGGTCTGTTGCGAGCCGTGTGGTCTAGCGTTGTCATGGTGATAGGTCATGTCATCTAAACCCCTTCCTAACTATTCAAAGAACAGGAGCAGGACCCCAAATAAGGCGTCTCGGGTATTCAGTTGCTGTTCCATCTCCCACTGCCTCATTAAATTCTTGTAGCATGACTTGAGGCAGATATAATTTTTTTCCATTTCAAATGTCAACCCTTCACAGAAGTGAATCTCTTAATTCACTAATAATAAGAATGGAAAGGGAAAATTAGTACGGTTAGCATTGTGTGCTTTTGCTGCCTTTAATAATTTGGCACTTAAGAAGTGTCTCAGTGTTTGAAATGCATCCAAAATTTAAAAAAAATTGACTTTAGAGATGTGCCATTTAACACCTTTGTCAACAAAAAGCGGATCTAGTTTTCAGAATGACACACACTGCGTCGAAATTTTAATTGATATTATAATTACATTTAAAGACCCTGATGTTGGGAAATGTGTAAACACATGTTGCATTAGGCAATCTGTTATCCTACTTACAAACACCTGAACGTTAAAGAGCACTAGACGAAAATTTACTAACCTGCGTAAACTAAATAGGCTATTAATTTTACGTTCAATAATTTTTACCATTGGCGAAATCAAGATAGCACCCACCACCTTAGTGTACCATTAGATAAAATCAACCACTTTGACGAATTTTTTTAAATATCCTCAAAAAGTAATGTGCTGACTAATCAAAGTCTGGGAAATTTGAAGAATAATTGTGCATCTACCGCTAAATGCATTGCATGATTTTGGAATTGCAGATTTAAAGATATAATTTGTCATTTGCATGGAGATTGATGCCACGAGTATCGTTTTTTCACTGCTATACTATTTTTGATTTTCATTTCCTTTAGTTGGCAGTTGTGGTCTGTTAAGGCCGTTTTTGATTTAAGAAACTTGTAAATCGAACATCTTTTATCAAGTCACTAATAAACATGCTCCTTTTCATTGTTGAAAGCGCGGACGGCCAAATAAAGCAAAATTCATTATCTGGAGCACACTAGGAGCCTTGGCACTTGTTGAGACAAAGGCAAGTCTTAACACGAAATCTAACCTTGTTCCAAACGCATAGCTCTGTAATAAATTAAAACCTTTTGAGATGGTTAAAATCGGCTACTTATTAACTCCAAGTCTAAATTTAATGTCCACTAAAGTACCAGTTGTCATTACTCCTTTAGTAATGTCGCTGGTCTTCGTGGTCTAGATTTGTTTCTCCGCACAAAATGCCCAAGTCTGACTTTGGCTGTTTTGTCAGAATTTTGTTCGAACACCACACTGCAATTGCATATTTTAATTGTAGCAATTACTGATTGTGACTATTCAAGGTTTTGTCTGCGGAGTGAAAAACTGCTCGATTGAATGTTCGAATTTATAAATATGCCAAACAATGCCTGCGTGTGTAAGACGCATGAGATTTTAAAGTAACAGTGCTAAATTTTATTGATTTGAGGACAATAAATCCCCCAACATTTAAACGTATGCTTATAATGCTACCTTGGTCATCATGCTAAGTACCTTGTTTCACGTGCACTGCCTAGCTTATTCCAGATTATGTCTAATAACTTTGAAAATACTTCCGGTATACAGCTTTAATTCGTTCCTAGTACTTAAAAAAGTTGAGTTCATTTATCTAAATTGCTTCAAATTGATGTGGGTGATTTGAAGTTGGTGGCAGCCTGCGCAACCACGAGGCCGTTAAAGTTCGAGAATGAAGAAGACATCCGTTTGTTAGCCAAGTGTGAGTGCAGCTTCACAACGTCCAGGGCTTGACAATGACGGCCTAACAGTTTACGGAAGACCAATAAACAAATTCGTGTGAGTGCAAACCTGTGCGTGTGCGGTGGAGAGGAGTTATGTTCTCGAGTTAGGCGTGTTGATGAGTCACACGTGGTGTTCGGTGAGGAAGACCAAACACCGACGGTTTAAGGGGACTTGATGCGGGCACTGCCTTGCCGACTAGGCTAGCGTTGTCAACCCCCGCCGTGCCTACAGTCAACGGCACTGTGTACCTACTGTGCGAAATGGGTCCTTGACTTTTGACTGTACCTTAAGACTCGAGCTACCCAATTGTAAAATCTGATGTACCGGAACATGCTGTGGTTTTTCTGTCTGAATTTTGATTATAAAACCACAGGAAGCTTCGGATACCTCGGATAATGTTCTTCTGAGACAACCATGCTTTTGGCTCTGGAAGTTCCATTGTCTGCAGTGATGATTTGTAAGTGAATGGGTCCAGGTTAGTCTGAGTGTTGCAAATTCAAACCGCTCCATGAATGAGAAAAAGGGTTCAGGAATAGGGTATAACATATCCTAGCTTAGCATAAAAAGTTTTCATTCTAATACTTAACCACGCGCCTCACCAGACTGCCCCATTTTAAATAAATGGGAAAATTAGTATTATTATTCAAAAAAGCGTACATGAGACATATCGTTAATACAATGTGGATAGACAAAAACAGAAAAAAACCTTCCTTAAGTAAATCTTTCCTAACATGAAAAATAATCTGTTTCTAAAAAAAATAGTTGAGAATTTGCTCTCTCGTTCTAAATTGTAACACTCCCCAAAAATTGTCGCCCACAAACTGCACTTGTTTGCAGTGAACTGCTGTCAATACCAATCTTTAGTACGACCTAATTAACCGTTAAGAACAGGCAAGGAAACGTTAGAAGAGCTACCAAAAGGTTTTACATAATGTTGCTTTACTGGTGTTGCAAATGCTGCTTCACCTTGCGCATCAAGTGTGCACGATTGTGTCAAGACATTGTATGTGATTAATGGTTCAAATTCATGTAAATTGCAAACATGAAAATTAATTTTTTAGCTCGAAGCAATGAAGGGCTCCTAAGGCAAAAACTTTGACCCCGCCAGGTGTAAAGGAAAAAGTAATTTAGCACGTCTTCGAAAAATGGCAATCGTAGCCTTCGACAAATAGACCTGTATTTCTGCAAACGCGCAACGTAAGTAAATAAATTTCACAAAGCAATTTTTATTTTGAAGCCCCTGCATAGAGTGCAAGGGTCTTTTCCAAGTGGAATTCCAAAAACATTACTTTTGAATTCAGACAGAGAAGAATCTTCTCTAGAAAATCCTTTCGGATTCTGAAAACAGTTAAATATTAAGGCCCTGCGAAAACTAAAGAAGGTCACAAACATATTTCACAGAGAAAATCTTATGTTAGGGGCCAGAGAACTCTTGATTGCGTGGCTAGATTATTAATAATTAGAAAGCGTTTTCTGGCAGCTGTGATCCCTTACCTTGCAATACCTAGCTTAGTAAAAACCTTTACTTGACGTAGACTAGTTCCCTCTTTTATGGCATCAACACAACAGACATCTAGACAACTACTGGTGACCTTAACAATATTTCTTGTTAAAATTTTGTGCTTTTTCTACTGTTATTTGTTACTTTACAAAACAAACATGAATATCTTCATTCATTTCGACTATCGATTTTTATTATTATCGCAAAACCATCTTTTTACTTAGATTAACCTTCGGGAAAAATGTGCAAGCTCGCCAAGTTATTAAACTACTCTGACCCTGCAAGCACGTTGAGTTGGTATTTACTTTACGCTAGGGGCTATCATTTTCGCATCCTTCATAGCCACACTCCGTAAAGATGAAGAAAGTCATCGGTTAAAGTAGCTAAAGGGTCCAATCCTTTGTCTTCTCACAGGTTGTCCTCACCTCCTCTTCATTCTCTCCTTCAATGCGAAACAGAGAATAAGCACCAAACATTTCGTACTCCCTCATCTTTCTATTTTCGTTTCAGTTTTAGCTTCATTTCCAAGTGGCTCTTGGTATTTCCTAACGAAAATATCCGCTGCTTTAGTGAGCGGTCATTAATGCGAGTACCTGGAAGTCAATTTGTCAAGATGGTATCTGTGGAAGCCTGGCCTCCGAAATAGTAATGAGGTTAATTTTGTAAAGGCTATGATGCCAGCAAGCGTGAGACATACCAAAACTTCATTCCCTGAAATAGACGTAACCTACCCAATAGCTTTCAAAATTTCTCTCTAACACCAGTTAAAAAAAGCACTAAAATTAATCGAAATCAAAACGCAAAATTATTAAGATTTAATTTTCAAAAATGCTTGACCTTATCAACATCCAGGTTTTATTAAAGAAATTTGAAAAATTACCATAAGCACATCTGTTGCAACAAATCTTGCGGCATGGCAAGAAACAACTCTCCAACTTAGTATTTGGCCGGCCATTCCTTCGTTTTAATTTCCGTATACATTAGGGTATATTTTTATTGCACTAATAAAATGAAAATAGAATGCGCTGCTTCATAATTTCCTTTGAACTTCCTCCTTAAACTGCATAAATACGCATAAAGTAGTCATCTGACAGGTTATTTAAGCTCAGTTTCTGTTAATTATATGCCACAAGGTCTATTTTTGTTGATGCATGCTCGAATTAGAATGCAATTACTAATATTGAATGTAAACAAATAGTCCATCATGGGCTCTTCTGTAAGGAAAAGTGTTCGTATTTTTATCCAAACAGAGTCTTGTCTCTAAGAGCATTGGCTCATATTAAATGCTACATTAAAAAATGAAACAGCATAATTTTTAAATACCCAGACAAAAAATAGGCCAATCTCAGCAATCAACTTTAAATAACTGTTTTGAGATGGTTTTTTGAGTCCTTTTAAAACCATTTTTGCATGTCTCAAGTACTATATGTTGACAGTATTTCGTTTAACTCAACGCATGAGGTGTACTGAGCTACTTGGCTCACAATGACTCTACAAACACCAAAAAATTATGAACTGGAAAAATATCATGGCCTAGGTTATCAGAGCCTTGAGTGTTTAACCTGATTGGGCATATTTAATCTTATTTGCATTTCCGCACTTGTAAGTGCAATGAATTGCTTTGTCTTATGTAGCCGTTATGTACACCTCAGATAGATTGTGTGCAATTTTTTTGGCATTCTACTAAGCACTCGAGTCTCCAGTACTAGCACGCTAAGTGGCTGGACGTGGATGCAAAAGATGAACTTTCTTTGCCTCACAAAGACTCAATGTGGCTTATAGGTTCGAAACTGCCGGATTAACTGCAGATATCTACTTTTGAACAGCTTGTCTTCAATTAACACTGACTTAACATGATTCTAAGCCAATTTTTTGGAAGTATTCATATTTAATCATTTGTTTTTCAAAAAGCTGAATTTGAAGGAATTTGTGCATCTTGAATCTTTATGCGTGGGTTTTATGACCGGCTGTTTATGGAAACGTGCATTTATCAAAATAAGGGAGTTCGCCCATTGGCAATTACCGTGATAGCGACTACTAAATATAAACCATGTTGTGATGGAAGAAGCACCGCGTGGGTGTACAAGGATTCCTCTATGCGTCATGATTTGCATTTCTCACATGGTAATTCCTTTTCTAGATAAATTTAAGGGTTTAACTGAAAGGCGGGCCAAGTGCCAACTCATTGTGATTCGTGTAATAACCACCTTTCTAAGATACGTTCTGTCCTCAAATTTTGGTAACGGACAGTAAAGATAACAAGGATTCGAGACAACAATTTTATCCATGCCTAGAATATTCAAGAGGTTATACTTTGACTTCACACAATTCAAATATCTTAATATTCCTTGAAATCTTCAGCTGTGTTTTACGGCCGGATACGAGTACTTAATTAGGGATTCTAAATGCAATTAGTTTGTATTCTGAGATTTCAAGGCGACTAAACCATGTAAAATCAGATTGTAGAAAGATTTTCTTTGTGCTAGAACGAATAAATATACAAGGCTACTAGGGGGACCTACAAAGCATGATGACATTTAGTTGATGATTACTCAGCCGAAAAGTTACTGCTTTGTGTAACAACTTGCCTTAATATTTTTAAAAAAATCGAACTACGGGAAATAGGATCTTGCACATAGAGAGAGGGGTAGTTGAGTCGTAAGGAACTCACCTGCACACCTCCACCAAGCGGTCCAGTTCTGGACATGAGCAGTCGTAGAGTTCACGGCAGGATTGGTGACTTGCATTCATGAGTTTCCCCAGTTTCTGCAGCGTTTCGTCATTTCCTGAATTGTCCCGATCCAGCCTCAAGTTTTCATCACACAGCTTTCGGAAGTCGATCACGCGCTGAGCTTCTGCATAGCAGTGTTTTGCTCTACGAGCTGGAATGCTTTGACCTACATTGTTTGAATAAAGAGTCAAGCTCCTACAAGCTTAGCTCAATTCAATTTTTTTTAATAGACCCATTCTGTTGTGTGGAAATTAATCTAGTTATAAATTTTTGCTTGGGCCTTTCTAAATTTTTTTTTCCACAATGCATTTATCTAATTTTACTTCTTTTCAATGATTGTCATGCCATTCTGTTGTATAATCCCAAACTTTAATTTAGATAATTCTTTATAATACAATGTTCTTGCAGCAATATTTAAACAGAGGCAAAGTTTAATTGGCGTTTTGGCAATTTGGGTAGATTGCGTCCAATAAGAATTGTTTGAAGAACGTTTAAGCAAGTTTTGCGAGGCACTGAGTAAACGGATCTGGTGCCTGAGTAGCCAGCTTCAGTTCACCTCACATGCAGTCAACATTGCTTCGTTATATCAAATTACGCTTCCATTGCAAAATGCCACCAAATTAGTACTTATTTGACCGTACCTGTCGATTGTTGAAGTCGCTCCTAGGTGGTATGTTCGTTAATCATATTTTAATGTTGCAATTAAAACGTTTGTCTATTTGACTTAAACATTTTAACGCTTCTATTTGTTTTTATTTGCACAGATTTTAATTATTCCGATTACTTAAGTAGGCAATTAAGTACCTTAAGTTGACATCCCCCATTAGTGGCATGGCCACCCAATTTGCATTTAAGTTAATCACCGTATGTGTCCGGATTACAATGCAAGATATATCAACGGATGCTAAGGGTGATCAGGAATTCGCCAAGTTCAACTTGTACAAATTAAATGAATGTTTAATCAAGGCGCAATTTGACTTTTGTCAACTTACTTCCCTCGGTCCACGCAATAAATGTGATTAATTATTAATTGTATCAGACAATTGTGCATATAATCAGTTATGTCATTTACTGCTTGTAAAGGAAAAGAATGCCTGTCATCTTGGCGTAAATAGATATTTAAACTAGACTAATGTCAATGCATGAGTAAAAGTGTAAAAGTCCATAGTATTCTAAGTTCATAAATTCAGAAAACGCAACTTCAGCTATTGATAAAACCTCTTTGGTTTGGTCAAATGTTTAGTACAGAAAAAAATCATTTCAACAATTAAAACAGTACTTAAAAATACAACAAGAACGCTTAAATAGCATTTTTCTTTTTGGCTATCTTTTCTTAAGAAATTTATTGTCAATTTATTTTCATAAACGTGTTAGTTCTTCAAAAGGGACAAACGAGTTTGGGTTGCGTGGGTTGCGTTGCATTAGACACTCAAGAAACGGGTGTGTACATCATAGCATTTCAAACGGATTTAGAAGTGACCTTTTGTTCGTAAAGGGTAATTTTTCTGGTTTTTAAGCTTGCCATCCAAAAGGTAAGACCAATTTATCAAATTATTGACCATATGATTCAGCCTAGACACTGGGTTAAGCGCCCTTGCACAATAGTGCATGCTGCGTTGGCAGAAGGTTGCAAAGTATATTAAACGTTAAACTTTGTTTATGCATTATCACTTTTCCTTCTCTGCGAAGATTTTGCCACGTTTAGTAAAGTGGCAAAATAAATTACATGTTTTTTTCCTGTTTGACCCGCTCGAGATTTTGTACAATTTCCCTTTTAATCAAAATTGCCGTGTGCTCACCCTCATTTTCTGGGAATGCATCAGCAAAAGGAGAGTTTTCCCCGAGCATTTGGCCGGGTTCTGCCAGACCAAAGGCTGCCTGGACGTCGGACAGGGTTCTTGAGCCAAGCTCGTCAGGAGTGTAGCTTTCTGGCAATTGACTCATAAAAACCTATACAACAACATTTTACAATATGACCAAGGCAAATTCACAATTGATTTTGTTAACAAAAGCACATGGGAAAAGTTTATATTAAATCCTGAAGTATTATTACATCAAGCAAGATAAATATCTGACTATTAACGCTGTAGCGGTTATTAAAAGTGAAGAGTAATTTGCATCACAGATCAAATAGTTTAAAAATGTATAAGCTAACTCTTTTAAGCTTTTCGAAATTGCAACCAGATTGTGCGTACTATTTGCGATCCCATAAATGAAGTCCATGCAAGCTTCTTACCATAAAATCATTCCTAATTACCTTTTGTCGACTGAAGACTACTTTACACGTAAATTACTTCCTACTTCAGTTGTAGATTATGCTTTTACATCGACTATTCACTTATGCGAAAGACTTCAAGTCTTTACGATTGTAGAGATGTATCATTTTTTCCGAAGATAGTTCTTTTTCTTACCCTGAGAGCCTCCTTGCATTGGGAAACGCGTGTGTTGTAGTCCGGTGTGGAGGCTTTATTGAGGCGGGCTCCGGAGTCAGCAATAACGAAGACACCGCCTGGAGGAATAATCACGGAGGTTGTTTTGATGCGGGATTGTCCAAATTCAATAATTATGGGCTACAAATCACACGGTTGTAAAAAGAATATACCCTGTGAGACATATTTGTCATTCAGTATCAAGATGCTTCCTCATACGAATTCATGAAATGTTGTAAACGCGGATGGCAGGTTTTCCCCCTTCGCCATGCATCGGGTAACCACTCATCCATGTAAATGTTTAATTTTTGGGTGTATCACTACGGACTTAGGCACAGAATCAAAACAATTAAATAATTCATGTGGACGTTAGTGCTAAATTCATTTGCATAAACCTTTATGGGTGCAGCCACGTTACGCCGAACATATTTTACCTCTCTTGTTGCTGTACAAAGCGCGTAACCTTGTAAACTCAAACAGCAGTGGTCAAATGTCAGTAATGAAGAGTTTAACACTTGCCATGATATTCTTGATTTATACGTTGCTTTAATGTTTATTGCTTAGGATAATACGTAAATACCACCAAACCTTCTGGGTTGTTTTTTTAGTATTCTTTTATTCCGAAGCGTGGAAAGTACATTATCGTCTACAGGTAGAGGTGAAAGCTGATTGACAAATTACGAGCGATTATAATGTGGAGTTGCAATAAGTGGACGAAATGAGGTTTTATAGGGATGCAAATTGTAAGTTCAAGATTAAGGCTCTTTAATATTTTTAAAAATCTTCTGGCTAGCTTAAGCTAGTGAACGGCTGTTGTACACAATGCAAGGGAGAAGATGTTAAGAATAAAATTACAATTTTGAGAAAACTGGTCTATGTAGTAGCGCACGTAGAGGCAATAACTCAAATGATTTAAGTGAATTATTTTAGTCTGCAGCAAAATTACTAAATTGGCACAGAATCAAATCCCAGCAGGCATCAGGTTTGATTTTCTTTGAAAAAAAGGGACGATTTAAGGAAGGTGATTTGGAAGCGCGATAAGTAGCATAACCAATTCGCAATTAACTAATAGCGTGGTTTATGTTACAAACAGATTCTTTGTGGATTAATGAAAGCATAGTACCTGTTTGGTTCCCATTTTGAGCTCCGTATTCGTGGATAATTTTGGCATTTACGTGACCTAAACCTTTTGTTCTTTCATGAGGTTTAATAAGACATTAGGAGTGCTGTTTTCTGAAATTCTCATAATTATTAAACCTGACTGCAACAAACAGTTGATGATGTCGCAATGTAACCCGTTGATTTATCACTTGCAAGACGCTTTACTTCGGTTAAAAAGCCGTTACAACAAGCTACAAGCTGCCGAAAAACATGCGAACAAAGAAGCTTTAAAAACCAACACACTTAAGCCAAATTGCGGTGTAAGAGCGGTTTCACACACATTACAAGAACTTTTTTGCTTATACGGCGGGTAGGCTGGCCACGCTACTTTGCTTCCGAACAAAGTGAATTTCATGCACACCCACTAAATATGCGTGCATTGCTTGCAGTTTGCCAAATTAAAGGTTCACTACATTGTAAGCACTAACGGACGAATTCACCGAAATCCGAGTCCTTGCCAAGGGTCCCAGATAAATACACTTTATGCACATTTGTTACCCTTTTACGCAGCTAATTGTCTGTAAACTCGAAAGTAAATAGTTAAGGGCTTTTGAGTCGTGGCTGCTGGCGCAATCCTGCATCGAATTTGCGTGAAGGTTAATTTGCCATGATGAAACCTTACCGAAGAGTCAGCCAGGAGGCAGGCGGCCTGGTCCATTCCACCACCCTGCGTGCCGATCAGACGTTCGCACTTCGCACAGATGCACGCCAGCACCCTCTGCCGTATTGTAAGGAGTCAAAAAAAAACAATGACTGTGTGCGCACGTTGTCTGAATTCTTTCAGCTAATGTCCAAAATTAAAAGTCGATGCGGTCGTGGTGATTTTTGCTTCCTGGTCCTATTTGCATGGCTTGGCTTTCTTCCTCCTTATAACTGCTTAAATTACGATTAACAGAAGAGTGACTGCTTTGAGGAGGAATTAATTTGTTTACTGATTTTTTGATGTTTACGTAGTCCCTAAAAATGTCTGCTTTTATTGGCCATAAATAAAGTTGTTATAGGAAAACATTCTTGGGATAAATAAAGGACAATTATTCGCTTTAGTGAAATCCTTAACTCCCAAGGTAAACAGCGTGTTATGCTGCAAGAATTGAGTGTCTTAATTGTAAACAATAACAAACAGATAGTGGAAATTAAGTAATTGAAAATCTCTTAACAGTGCACCTCGGCAGCGACAAATTTACAATATATTTTGAGCAGATTTTTCGGGAAGCTCCCATTCACTGTTCCTTTTGTTATAATTGCAGAGAAGGAAGCTCAAATATTAACCAAAATTTAATTTCGCTGATGCTTTCTTCGCATACTTTAATCTGAATATGCCAGCATTTTCGGGTTAGTGGTAAATTTACTTTCTTTTAACACTTTCCTAGAGTTGTTCGTGGTTTTGAACGATTTCAAATGATTTAACAGTACAATAGTTTCTACTGAACATATAAAAGTAGAATTTCACTTAAATTTGCTAGAAATAGTTCAAAAGAGGGTCATTATCGATGACCGTTTCTAGCAGACAACAAATCCCAGGTATGGTATTTTGCAATATTCTTAGGACATTATGCAAAATGTCTCTAAGATGATACCTGGATTCTTAAATGGGCTTTTTAATGAAGACAAATCGTATATTACGCCAGTGCATTTTTGTTGATCTAAATGCTGAGCGTAACTTGTTCTAGCAGATGATTTTTGTTTTTTAGACCGTAGATTTAGGTGCCTTCCTCGGAAGCTCTACTTCGATTCATTTTACTGTCAACCGATAGTTTTCCGACATTGTTCGCGTCCATGCAGAACTTGTGTAGGCTATTTAGACTCATTTTAGATTTATCTGCGCAGTAATATCCACCTGCCCTGACTTAACAAGCGGTGTAAAGCTTTTCGGGTTTATTCGGTGGCACGTAAATATTAAAATGTCTAGTTCAAATCTTCACGCTTGTGAATATCCTGGTGGAAAGCCATGATGGCGCAAATTTTGGCCTCAATGTCATGCAGATCTGCATTGGAGTTATACACGTTGCAGCACATGAAGTTACATTGCGTCTGCTTTCCGCGTATTGGCTTTAGCAGCCAAAATATTCATGCAAATCATTTTGCCCTTGTAGGGTTTGCATTACCGCCACGTATTGCGCTTGAATTATTATCAAAATTGATCTTTTTTGCCATAAATTGTTGAGATGATCGTTTAAAAGTAGATAAATATTAATTTACAATTGCTGATTTTACAAAGCAGAGACGCACTGGTTCGACGAATGTGTTCGACGCGCGCATTGTTGCCATGGCGGCTGCAACCACAAGAGCACTGCTGCTTGAGAGACCGGCACACATTGGCACGTAGGCAGGGTCTTGCCCGTTACCAACCAGTAAGCAGATTGAAGGAGCAACCCAATTCTGCTAGAGCAAGGGAGGGCATTCTATCAAGTTGTTTCAAAAAGTGGCAACCAATAAATCAAGGATGAGGCGCAAACAGCTAAACTGCCAGCAAAGGTAGTTGATTCTGTTGTACGCACTCTACAAAATTGCCAAATTTAAGTTACCAATATATTTTTAGATTAGAAACTGAGGAATGTGGAGGTAGTTCTGATGAAGTAATTGTTATGTCTTGTAATGTGTTTTCAATGTTTAACAGAATTCTTGACGGTAAGATGTGATGCGATCAAAAATCATTAATTCCTTTGAATAATTGTCAAGGTTCAAAGTTTTGCTCTGGCTGAAGTGGTTTGAATTTGAAATTATCCATAACTTTACGCTAGGTCTGGTGTTAAAATGGCTTGTCTATAAATGAGACTGGTAATTCTGTCCATATTTAAAGCAGAATCTTCAGTTTACGCTTTTTCGGTGGAACATGTGAAACAAAGTTACCACAATAGTCCAATTCGAAGCTTTTCTGAAAACGGCTAGTTTAATCAACACACTAATATCATTTACGAAAACTCTAAGGATTAAGGTTTAAACGAGGGACCCTAAAAGAAGTCTAAACAATGTTTGGAACATTGTTTTGATCTAACAGTGTTTCCATTCTGTAATGTCGTGTTACTTATATTTAACGTGTTCATGCCAAAAAATGGTCACTAACGATTCTTTCTGAGTGAAAACGGAAAATAGTTCTGCGCATCCATACTTAGAAACAGGTTAGCAGGAAAAAATTAAACAGCTAGGCATACATTAACGGACAGCAGAGATAATACAAGTTTAAATTGGTGGCTTTTAATGTTCGCTTTGTGGTTTGCGTTTAGGGGTTGAAATCATACCCCAGAAAAAAGTTGTCTTGACGAAAGGCGTTCATCGGCAATGATATTTCTAACTATAATGGGTGCATTTTTTGACGTTTACGTCTTAAAAGCATCAACTTTACGAACAACGCAAAGAGGAAAAAATTTCCCAAATTCCTTAACTTTGCGGTAAATCGACTGCCAGTTCAGGTAATCTCAATGGATAGTGAAACACCCTGCCATATTTTCAACCAGCCCTATAATTTAGCAAAGATTCGTATCTATACTTGACATACAGGAAATTCCTGTTTGGCGTATTCATAAAAGCCGCAGTAACCACAAAGGACATAGTGATACCACCTGGGTGGTTGAGGTGGTCCATTTTTTGCAAACTGCAGAGCCGTCTCAATGTCTGCCTCAAACGTCCTAAATATAAACGTGAATTACAAAAAGGTTTCAATGAAAATGCAAATAAGTCTGTAAGCACTGACTTACTCAAAACTTGGGCATTCTGACATGATTTTTATCTTTCTCTGCTCCTTTCTTGGGAGATAGGCAACGGCTACATAGATCGCTTGATTCAGTGCCATGGGTAAAACTGCATAGCCGTTGTAGTCAATATGTTCACCTGTATTACAAGCGACTAGGCATTAATTGTTAAAAATTCACTCTTTTGGTGTTAAGTAATATGGAAAAAAGTAATAATTACATTAGATTGATAATCGGAAGTCTCATTTGAAAAAAAAACTGAAAGAAAAATCAAAAGGCTGTTAATGTAAGGGATGATGTAAATAGTTTGCACTCACTGATTAACTCCGCCTGTTAGATGTATTCTGTTTAATCTAATTTCCTGTGCGCAATTGTAAAGTTGTAATAAATATAGGAACTGATGAGATTGCCATTGTGTCTGATTATGAATATCAAGGAATCGGTTAGAGCACTGTTTGACATTTAAGACTAGTCTTGAGCTGATGTATAAAAAGGTCAAAATGCGGTGTGATTTCACTTTAAATTTCAACAAATCAAAACTAAAGAAAATCCTTTAGTTTACTTGAAATCAATAATCATGTTAGGTTTTTAGAAATATCCGTTGCACGTGATATAAATCAAAATGGTTTACATTTTACACTAAAACAAATCTCCTGCTATTGTCGCCTGTGATTAAGTTAGTTTACGAACTATTATATGTTCACCTTTCTCCCCTAATGAAATGATCAGACTTCATGTTATCAAAAATCCCACTTTAAGATACTTTTACTGGAAACTGAATGTGCGAACTCCTGATGTATTAACCAAGTTATTACAGAATTCCTGGTATCATGAACAAGGCAAACCAAAATGTTACAGTACTAATTCATTAGCCTGCGGAGAATACATGTTTTAAAACGCCCCGCAAATAAAAAAAGGCATGAAGCTGCTCCTACATGTTAATAAATAATCTAAAGCTGGCAGTTCTCAACGCGTTTTTGAGGACTGGAACACAGTTGACAGAAAATTTTGTTAGTTTAACTTAACCACTCAAACATGTTTTACAAACATGCCGAAAAATACCATTAGCACGTATTTCTGCGAAAAGTTGACTTCGACTTTAAGCAAACCACTCATAACGATGGGTGCCACAAAAGTAGAGGGAAAAACGTTAAGAAAATTAAGGAAGGAAAATTACCCAACGACCTACCTATTATGTTCACTCTACCCGGAGCTCTAACAATGAACTGGCATCGTTGCACTTCCGGACATCTATCTATCATCATTTTGCTTAGCTTTTTCGCGGTTTCATCCTCAAAATATGGACAATATTCATTCTGTGTACCAAAATACACGTAAGGAAATCAAAGTAATACTGGAAGACATTCATTTGAAAGCTACAAATGCAAATGCTAGAGCCATTTAAGAATTCAATCGCTTTAATCAATTCCCCTAATCCGCTCAAAAATAAAGTTTTTCGAGTGACATCGCTAGAAAAGCTACTTTCCAGTACCTATTTTCCTAATCACACATTTGCGTAATCTTTGAAAGTGGAAGGATTTAATGGCTTGTGAAAAGAAGCTCACCTGTGCCATGGTGCGTTCGGGTGATTCAACTAGACTGACCGCTTATGCACACAATATGGAGGCGCGTGTTTCTGTTTACAAATATTATGTGACGCTCCTTCTCGATTGGTCGCTCGTTAACACGTCGTCTCGCTTTTGACATCTAAAATGTTCATTCAAAACGAAACCATAGCAGGAAGCACGCTTGGTGATGACTCAATCACCCGTTGAATGAATTGCATGTCTCATGATCATTGAATAAATTTTGAATTCAATGTACCAAACTGATTGTGATGAGCGAAGTACATTCGCTTTACCCAATTCAGAAATATCCAATTAGATCGTTTCAGTAAATTAATATTATACTCTTGAAGACTCCTTTTGCATTATATAATAAACAGCAGTGAGAGTCACTATCTGTTTCTTCGGTTGAGTCTACCATGGGATAACAGATTTGGATATGATGACTTGCATTATTGAATCAAAAACCAAATTGATAGTTGCTGCGTCCAACAACAACTTCCATGGTCTGCCACGAGTATAAATGATAAAAAGAAATTTGTGTTGAAGGCTCAAACTTTCTAACAACTTCCGGACGCTTTAAAAAGTCACGCTGTGTAAACCCCAATCGTGTGTTGCAACCATTGGTATTTCGCATAACTTTAAAAAAACCTTGCAGCTGTAGTTGAATAAAATGGCTCCTAGTACTTGGATAGAACGTGGCTATTAAACCCACATGGCAATAAACACATATAGGCTTTATCTTCTGTTTATATTTGGCGCTGTTTTACATTACAAAGTCCCAGGTATGTCATTTTGAAAGCATTTTTATTGTATTATGGGCGATGATATGTCATCGAAGGAGTTGGATCCTTTACACTCGCTTTTTTGAGGGTGACATTTGGTCTGAGGTGAATCCTGCAATGAAGACGCTAAGCATGCAAAGGCTTAGCGTCTTCGTTGCTCATTCAAGCACGTCTCTGATCACGTGCTAGTTCGTTCGGATTTAATTAGCTGACAGTTCCCATGACTCGCGCTCTCCCAACACTCATTTTGGTTTTAGAAGCACTCCGACATTACCAATGCACTGGGGTAAGCCATCTAATGAATGGTGGTAACTCCGTCAATTTTGGTTTATTTAACGTTTCCGGGTATCAGCTCAGTGTAAACGGACCACGGGACCCTGAGGTGAATTTCAGGGTTAATTCTGAGGTGAAATATGGTTGTGGCAGGCTGCAGACTTGAATCCTGAAACGCGAACTCTGTGCAACGCCCAAAGATTTCAAGGTAATGCATCACATCTACATTTTTCATCATTTAGTATGTGTTTGGACTTGAATAAGTGCTCGACTATAGAAGAATTGCTCCCAAAATAGAATTCATTTGCGATTTGAATTACTAAACTACCAACGAAGTGATTGGCCACGCAAACTTGGACTTGGTAAACTTCATTAATCCCAATTTAAGCCATTTAAGCTTCATTCAGCTGTTGTTGTGAAAGACAACTGAGTATCCGCTGGGAGGAAATGGGTTCTATTTTGAACCACAGTGGGATACCTAATTGCTCCACTGTTAAATGTCTTAGTCACAGCTTTATTATTAAGCAATTTACCAATGAACTCAAACCTCTTTTAGTAAATGAATTAACTATGAACCAGTTTTGATACAAACGTAACGTAGTATAATGGAATGCCACTGTCTATTTAGTTTATAAGTTGAACTTTGTTTGTAATCAATTTTTAACGTCACCAATCGTCATGATATGTTCAAATTTGTACCTTCCTCAAGTATTATTACACCCAGCCTAATGATCTTCGTTCGAATAAAGCAGTTTAGTGGCTCGCTGGCATCAAGGGTTGTAGACATTAGGTTCATATTTAGTAGTTTCAGAGTTACTTGTGGCACCTGGCTCCACAATAAAGTACGGGAATCTTGCTGCCTTCTGTCGTCATTTTAGTGCGATTCTGTCGCAGGACATTATGAGTTCAAATTAATGGTTATCTCCTCAGCCAAACGACTTGAGCTAAATAATAATTACATGAGGATGGGAGCACTTTTAATCAGCAAATAACATTTGCGACGCAAAGGTGAGAAAGTCAACACACAGTGGATAAATTAAACCAATAAATGATTATGAGTAGTACAGAGGACTCATGACTTTAAATACTCACGACAAAGTTTGTGATAATTTACTCATCCGCCAATTGTATTTATGATTCCTCATCATGGCTTTCAAACTGTAGTATCGAGAAGTGATCGGAAAAATAGGCTACTGTTTAAGACGCAAGAATATGAAGCCTTGATCAAAAGACCACACGATCAAAAGAATCGGATTTGAGTAAAGGTGTAGCAATAGTTCAGGCCATGCGCCGATTGGCTAAGGAAAAGAGATGTTATCCGCGAGTTAAGTGAGAACAAATCACGTGAGGAGAGCGTTTACCGTCGTAGCTAAAGATCTATTAGGGAATTATTCTTCACGTATTAACAGTTTTAAAAGCAGACTGATCCTAAAAGTAACAAATTTATTCCTCTGACAATGCAGTTGTGACGACAAGGCTATAAAAGGAGCAATAAAAAGTGCAGAATGTTTTATCCTGTAATTATCCAGCCAAATTTGCTACCTAATAATAATGCACTCAGCAGTCAGTAAATAATTATGTGGGCAAATTTTCGCATTCTATTTGACATTAATTTACAGATATTTATGCAGTTGAATTCCTCATATCTTTTCTGAGAACATATTTTAATGAGCATGTCATCAAATTTATAAAAAAAATATCAACGGTAGAAATAAAGCAAAAAAACTCCTTCCCTAGTGTGTCAAATTTAAACGTGATCTAGGATTTTGCAAATTCATTATTTATCGAAGCAGCTTTGCGTCCGTAAATATGTGTCGACGTTGTTAACCGAATTCATTTTAAGTGTCAACTGTGGCGGATCTTGTTTATTCTGACCGTCACCATGGTTCACACGTGACTAGCTACAGTCTGCGTGTGTTGCTCCGAATCCCCTACCGAGTCGATTAATGACCCTCCTGAAATCCACAAACTGGTCTCTCCTATGAACTGGCTCACCCTATACCGGCGTACCTAACCTTTCATGGAAACGCCTTCGTTATACAGGCCTTGTTTGTTCATGCCTACGATAAACAAATACTCATAAACAGTCAGGACTCATCAAACTCAAGACAGTTGACCGAATGCAACAATCTATCTTCTCCTTCGTTTTTGGGTGCTTGATGTCGGATCGGGTCATAACAACAACATTAGCAAAGTAGCCCAGATCCCGTTTATGGGTAGTGGGTTGAAGAAATTCCCTGATGCGGTGAGATACAGCAAACTATCAATTCAGTAGAGTAAGATGGGTTAACATGCACGTTCTCGTATGTACTCTGCACTTCATAGCAATGCCTACACATTCCTTCAATTTAAGGAGTCTGTGGCGAGCAGAGTTATCAATCTTGAGCGAACGCAGTGTGCAATAAATTGGTTGAGCTACTGGTTATCTGCATTTCTGCTCTACTTTCGGTCGGGTCGTGTCAACGTAGATTATCGACCCTGGTGTGGTTTCTAAAACCGCACCGGGGCCCACTACAAATTGGTGACCCCGACGCTACAAACGTGAGCAGCACGCAAACGCCGCTACTGACCCCGCTATTGAACACGTTTGGCCTTCTACAAGCAGAAAATCAACGTTTTGCCTCGATGGCCTATAAAACGCCTCTGAATCGATTCATCTAGCTCATTTTCGATGATTTTGTAAGCTCAAACCGACACCCGATTCGTTCTTGCGTGCTTTGCTACAGATATCAACTGATCCTCGCCTTGTCCTTACCCTCTGATCGACTCGACTCTTAATCATCGACCTCGTCCACCTCATGCAGCGAACGTACTATTAATTACACAACACCGTTGACTGACCTTTCAGTTGAAGAAAAGGTCCGTTGATTCAATTCGACTCGTTTTTCACGCCTACGTTCTCGCCTTCAAACACGTATCGACCTTCTACGACCACTCAATTGGCACTTTTGCGGTTTTATCTCTAACCCCATCACCTCCGGACGCCCCTTAACTTACTGACAAAACATTGAGTCTTAACACCTTTCAGCGACAATTATTCGACAATTCCTTTTACCAAGGGGGAGAACTGTGGCGAGAAGAGTTATCAATCTTGAGCGAACGCAGTGTGCGGGCACAAGCGAACACAGTTCATTCGATTATTCGTCAATGAATTCCACGTAACTAGCTGCGTTCAGAGATCAATGCCTAGCAAAGCTATATAAACGCATCTGGTATCGTGTACACAGCAACACACTCCGCTACTGCTTTAATAAATTGGTTGAGCTACTCCTCATCTGCATTTCTGCTCTACTTTCGGTCGGGCCGTGTCAATGTAGATTGTCGGCCCTGGTGTGGTTTCTAAAACCGCACCGGGGCCCACTACAAATCTTTACCTCTTCTTATGTTTCCCGTGAAGGTAACAGAACATCTCCAAAATTTTAAGGAATGAATCTGCTTTATACAATATGTAGTTTTCTGAATGGGGTTATTTAACAGCATAAATTGCTTGCGCAACACCATTTCAACGACTGTTTTGGTTTATTGAGCCTGACTAGTCCTCACTAAATGCGGAAACACAATGAAGCAAAATGCACCAGGATTATTACGTAACCATAATGTCATCTCCAGTGTACGCCTTCAGTTTGACCATTTCGTTTAAGC